ATATATATATATATATATATATATATTATGTGTGAAATAAAAAACTACACAACAAACCTCCAGACTTACCATTGAAGAGAGGGCATGAAAAATGATGAAATATTTTTTAACATAAATCTAGAACAATGATTGTTTTTCAGGAAAGCTACAATATATGAACAAACTACAACAAACACGGACACTGATTACAATAAATAGTGTAATACTTTGTAATATGGAACATATTAAAATCAGTAAAATCATTTTAAGTAGGTAATTTTGTACATGTATCTTCCTTCATACAAGATCATTCGTTATCAATAAAACTTTATTAACATTTTTGGTTTCAAAGCATACAGGATTTCCAAACAATGACATTGCTGAACCAGTTACTACAAGTTAAACATGCCAAGGCTTAGAATTAAGTTTAGATAATGTTATAACAACACCATTTGAATTGGAGTCTTCTACAGAAAATGTATAATAGCTCACCAGTACATGAAGTATTATGTTTACTTTATACCATACTACCTGCTACAATAACTCTAATATTGATAAGGTATTTAATCTTCAATGTTACTTTTAAATAAATGTAAAAATCTACAACTTCACTGATCGTGATATTTTCTTCCAATTTAACAAAGAAAGGAACATATGTAGTAAAAAAAGTATTATTTCTTTCTTTAAAAATGGAGTATTTAATCAACACAACACTAAACTATAATCTACACTAATAATATAACTAAAATAAGTTTACAATCTAAAGCTATTCGTCTCCATAACAATAACAAATTATAAAAAAATTGGGGTTACTTTCATTAATTACACCATATGTAACAGAACCTCAAATATTTCATGAATTTTACCAATGTTTCTTATTAGTATCAACTTTTAATATTTTTGGAGCATCAAAATTTCGAAACCATTTTTATTAGGAATGGGACATATAGTAGTTTTGGACAAATGTTGCATGTTGGCTATCCAATCAGATGTAGGTATTTTTAGATAGGATATAACATGTTCCCAAGAAAATGTGACATGAGCTACCCCTATAGTGTAGTATTAAACAAGTTATTACGTCACTGTTTCTTGAAAATATGATAAGAATTTACACTGGGATGTACAGTGTGCAGCCAGTATAGGCCCTTTAAGAGAACTCGGCACATAGCAGCATCAATCAGTCCCTCCCACTGCCTCTACTATTTGGACTATAGAATGAGACGTTCCTTTATATCCTGATCCCCCACACTGAAAATGTTGTTTATATTATGCTTGCTGTGTCTGCCTGTGGTGGCAACACGACGGACATGATTGTTTAACTATATAACATTATTTCATTATGAGTACCGGAGTTCCTACTCTTCAACACCAGAGAAAATGCTGCTATGTCAGTAATAAACATCACCAGAAGACTACATGATACAATATCTATTATGTGCATGTAGTATCATGTATACTGATTATTAACATCCTGTCAGATTGGATAGTGAAATAATTCATCTCAAAATTAACATCCTGTCAGATCGGATAGTGATATAATTTATCTCAAAATTAACATCCTGTCAGATCGGATATGATATAATTTATCTCAAAATTAACATCCTGTCAGATCGGATA